TAATCATGAACAGAATGTTTATAAAAACGTGGACTTATCAAGGCCACTCTGATGAGTCTGAGATGGGAATGATGAACATGTTATTAGACAATGGAGAAAAGGTGATACTTTTACAGTGGCAAAGAATTTGGCTGGATTATGTTCATGTTCAAGTGTGGTGTGGCAGGTAGAACATGTGAGAGATGAAATAGTATGTTTAGATGAAATTTCAAAGCAAAGTGTTGAAGGAGAGTCTTGCTGCTTCCTGACTACCCATAGTAAAATGTGAAAAGAGAGGACTGAGCTGAAAAGGCAATTGATAAGCACAAAAGAACCAGAAGTTAAATATTTGAAAAATTCTCAGCTTGTGCACATTGCAAAAAATGAGAAAGCTTGTTCTAAAGAGAACACTAAGGGGGTGTCCAAACAACCCTTTGATAAGGAGATCAGTAGAGGTGTGAATCACAGACCTAATCAGCTACACTATCAGAAACACTGCCAGTTTTAAGTATCTACTGAAATTTCCATTTTGTTCATACATTGTTCATTGTTCATGCATTGTTTTAAGGCAGAGCCACATCTTCCTTTAGTACTTTGAGCATTGTTAGGACAATTGTTTTAAAGTATTTATCTGGTAAGTCCACCATCTTGTCTTTCTCATGGCCAGTTGATATTTTTTCCTTTGAAGGGCCATACTTTCTGATTTCTTTGTATGCCTTTGTGATTTTTGTTGTTGAATATCAGACATTTCAATCTTATGATGTGGCAACTCTGGAAATCAGAATTTTCTCTTCCCCAGAGTTACCTGTTTTTGGTCCTTTTTTTTTTTTTTTTATTGTTGTAATGTGTCTTTGTGCCAGGTATCAGCCTGAGGTGTAAAACCTAAGACCTTGTCTGAGCCTATCCCTTTCTCTGGGCATGCACAGTGACTTTTTAAATTCCCCTGTCTACATGTTTGCTTTTGAATGTCCTAGTCCTTAAATGTCTGGCTCCCAAAAGGGGAAAGAGGGAATAAAACACGTTCTGTTTTTCTAAGTCTCCTTGAAGCTGCCTCAGCTTGTGTGGGTTGCAACAGTAGTAGCTTGCCTCTTGTCTGCACTTCTGTGATCAGCAATTAGAACCTATTTGGAGAAGAAGTGTTTATTGTCCAGTCTACCTCCCTCAAGTTGCTTAATGAATACTGGTATGGCTACCACCATGGAACTGGGGTGGTGGGAGATGGGAAGCCACTACTGTACTAGCTTATAGTTGACATATAATTGGAATTTACTGTCCAAGCTTTACCCTAGAAGCTGCAAGCCTTCAAATAGACTCCAAAATTCCAAAACAGTTACATCAGACAGATTCTGCCAGTATAATTGTTGCCTAGATGGGGAGAGATTCCTGGTACTTCCTATTGACCATCTTCTCTGATGTCACTCTTCAGTCATTCTTTACTTGCATTCGTTTGCGTGTGTGTGTTTGTGTGTGTGTGAGTGTGTAGTTCTATGCAATTTTATCTCCTGTATAACCACCACCACTTTCACTGTCTTGTCTTAAAATTCTTTCAATTCTCTATCTTTTAGCCACAGTTTCATTGTCAAAGATGTGGACTGTCTATCTCATTTTGGTCCATATATTTATGAAATCATGTCAGTAAAACCTAGAGAGCAAGAAAGAGTAGGTAACCCAGAAATCTTGGTGGGACACATGTTCTATATAGGGTAGGAGGTAAAATGAACATGGAGGCGTGTGCCAGCACACCAGAAGTTTTAGAAGTCTAAAGGTCTGTGGCAGGATATTCTTTCCAAAGGGAAACACAAATTTCTGTGCCTTATACTCCCACCACGAAGGGCTCTTGCTATTTTGGAGACAACATACACATCTAAGTATGCTGCTCAAGTCCTCTTACAGGGTTTACCAGGCATCTTTTAGGTAGAGACCAGTGTAAGGGAAGAATTCCTAACTGGCACTGGTTGCAGTGCAAGCAGCTCTATCATTGTGTAGTGGGGCTAGTGGTGGTAAATTTCATGTCAATTCCAGATAGGAGAATTAAAGTGAAGGCTCCAAAATTTTGGAGTAAAACCATGACCATGTTGGCAAGTGACCATCCTCATTTTGAGAAATTGCTCTTGGCTTGCTATGGGGCCCTTCTGGAAACTGAACACTTTCTGCATTGTACACCAGGGAACCATGCTCTCTGGGTGTTTTTAGGCATGCATATCAGGGTTCAGTTATCAAATAGATATGGTACAGTGAGGCTAGTTTCCATGTCTTGAAACCACAAATAAGCAGCAGAACGTGTTGCTCACATTTCTAGCAGATTTCCTCTTCCTGCTTCCCCCTCAGCTAACACCTAGGGCCACGTACAGAGTCCCAGATGACCACTTGGCTAAGGGGAAGTAGTCAAGCTTGGTTTCAGATGGTTCTACCAGGAATGCACTGAACAGCACTATGGTCTCACTCCAGGATGGCCCTGGGGAATGGCAAAGAAAGGAAACACTTTCAGGAGGCAGAACTTTGAACAGCATATTTTAAACTTTTTATTCTCTATTTTTCTGGAAAGGCTCAAGTACCCCTGAATCATGGGTAATGGTTAAAATCTGGTCACCTAATCGGTGACCTAGAAGAATTAAGATTAGAAGATTTATGACAAAAAAGCTTGGGGAAGAATTTGTGGCCAGAACTCTCAGAATGGGCCCAGAATATTTGTATCTCATGTGAATGCTCAGCAAAATATTCCCATGGTGGAGGTTTTCAGGAACCAGAGACCAGAACAACACACTTGGATGTCATTCTGCTCCCTTCCCAGCCACTTCAGTACATGCACAAGTCGTTCATGAACAGTGTGGCCCTGCTGGCTGGGGTGGAGTCTATCTGTGGCCCTAACACAGACTTCCCGTCATGAGGATGATGTAATTTTTCCATTTCTCCATGTCAGCAAAAAGTGGTGAAGAATGATAAACGGTAAGCTAAAAAATTATAGAGGCCACTGCAATAGTAAATGACTATCTACAATATTTTTTCCTAGCCTTCTGGGTTCTTAGGATTCAGAAGTTTTAGTACCAAAGGGAAGAATAAGTCTACCAAGGGACACCTGGATGATTTCATTGAACTGAAAGCTGGGGCTGACACATGGATATTTCAGGCTTCTCAAGGCACGAGGCAAATAGGTGAACAAGAGGAATATGGTATTGGTTGTGACAAGTGGTTCTGATTAACACAGGGACATAGAATTGTTGCTACATGAGGTGGTGGGGAGGATAGGGTGTAAATGAAACACAGGTGCTTCATCAGGTTGCTTTCTTAGGCTACCTGTCCGGTGGGAGTTAAAGGAAGATATTCCCACAGTCCTATCCAGGAAGTTCTCTCTGAGTTATTTATTCATTCAACAATGGATACTACTAATTCCAGACACTATACTAGGCCTCAAGGATACAGCAATGAAAAAGAGACAAGAAACAAAATAAATACCCAAGTAGACAAGAAAAATGGTAAAAGATGATAAACGATAAGCTCTCCCCTCTCAAAAAAAAAAAGGGTATTGCAATAGTAAGTGACTACTCAGATTGAGCCATCAAAGAATTAACAGTTAAACCAAGGTCAAATTGGCACTAGGATCCAACTATGCAATTTATGACTGAGTGTTTGGGACCCTCTATCACTTAGAGACCACAGGGAAGGATGAATGCAAGCAAAGACCCTGGTAAAAGCATCTCCCCACAATCTGTGCTACTTACAGTCTGTCCAGTAATGTCCTTTTTCTCCTATCCAGTATCAGAGTTTGTTTTTGACCATCAAGAACCTTGATGGGGGCACTCCAGATAGTAAGGCCATGGGTACTTTGTCTTTCCTTATCTATCTTTTTCTGCATATTACATTAAAAAGCAGGTGTTATTTTTGTAGCCAGAAACTATCTGAAAACAAAATTAATTTGCAGTTACTTAATGCATGGAGAAAAAGCTTGAATATGAGGACATCAAAATATGGCAATTTCTAGATGGTAGTTTTATGGGAAATTTTAATTTGTCTATTTTTTTATTGTCAAATATTCTATGAGGCTTTAATAATTTAATTTTTTAAAATTAACGTGTCATTGATATACAATCTTATGAAGGTTTCACATGTGCAACATTATGGTTTCAACATTCATCCAAATTATCAAGTCCCCTCACTGCACCCTATTGGAGTCACTGTCCATGAGCGTAGGAAGATGCTGTAGAGTCACTACTTGTCTTCTCCATGGTGTGCTGCCTTCTCTGTGACCTACCTGTATTATGTTTGCTAATTATAATGCCCCTTGATCCCCTTCTTCCTCCCTCCCACCCACCCTCTCCAACCCCTTCCCTTTGGTAACCGCTAGTCCCTTCTTGGAGTCTGAAGTCTGCTGCTGTTTTGTTCCTTCAGTTTTGCTTTATTGTTATACTCCACAAATGAGTGAAATCATATGGTACTTATCTTTCTCCACCTGGCTTATTTCACTGAGCATAATACCCTCTAGCTCCATCCATGTTGTTGCAAATGGTAGGATTCATTTTCTTCTTATGGCTGAATAATATTCCATTGTGTTTATGAACCACATCTGCTTTATCCATTCATCTACTGATAGAGAGACTTTAGTAATTTAATTTTATAGTAAAATTATTAACACAAAAAAACTTTGTAAGCACTCTCCTCAGTCATCAAAATATTTCTTAATATATGTATACTTACATGTGCAATTATTCATATAGATAAATATATAATACTGACATCTTTTAAAGACTGAAAAGCACAAAGACAAGTAAAAAGAGTAATAAAATATTAACAAATGCCAGTGCAGAATGAAGAAGTGTTAACATGTTGTCATGTTTGTTTCCAGGGTTTAAAAAAATTGACATTCAAATCCTGCCAATCCCATTCCTCTCTCCAAAATGGGAACTGATATCATGAGATTGGAGTGAATCTTCCCTGTCATTGTTATTTTGTATACATTTGCATCTATCTTTCTCTGTCTCTCTGTCCCTCTGTACTCTATCTTATCATTTTCTCTATATTTCTAGCTCTGCAGAAATAAGCAACAGAAGAGGCTTTTCCTTGAGCAAGGCATTGGTCACGCCTCAATTAGAACTCATGTAAGTGACGTTCCTTTGTAATGACGTCAGTGCCGTTAAATACAAAAGGGGATTCAAGAATCATGCAAAAATACAGTTACTGCGAACCATATGTCAGAGTGGCCCTGTTCCAATGCACTGGGCAAGTGCACAGATGTGTTGGTCCTAATTCCTCTACATGCAAAATGTATTCTTTCCACAGGGTAACTAAGCTACACAGGACTAATCTTTTATCACCCCCCTTCCCCCGCCCCTGCCAAAAGTGACCATGAGTCTCTGGGTGTGTCTGTCTGTCCTCACCTCCCAAACCAACTTTTACTTTTCATCCACTCTGTCCTTCGGGCTTTCAAAAGGAGATAGTGTCTGCTAATTATTACTTGGGCTTGTTGACTGACAGATGAATCCTAGCAGACGAGTTCCAGTCACTGTGCTGGCTCAGTCATTTTAAGCTCCTCATCTCCAGGTGAAGAGGGAAAGTCCTTGCTTTCCCTGGGGCTAAAGGAATGTGGGGCATCAGCCAGCAGGTGCTGTGATTTGTTTGCTCTGGGGAGGGAGTCATGAGAGCAAATCTGATTTAGACCTTCTAACCCAGTGGTTTCCAAGGTTGCCCATCAAAATCACCAGGGAGCTTCTTAAATGCTTGGGGCCCACTCCCACAAGGTCTGGGGTTGGGCTTGGGCCTTCATGTGTTTAAAAGGACAAATATTCTACAATTCCACTTGTATGAGGTATCTAGAGTAGTTAAATTCAGAGCTAGAAAACTAAGTGGTGGTTGCCAGGGGCTGGGGGAGGGGCACAGGGTATTAGTGTCTAACAGGTGCAGAGTCTCCTTTAGGGAACATGAAAGAGTTCTGGAGAGGGATGGAGGTGACAGTTATCCAACAGTGTGAATGGACTTAATGCCACTGAACTGTTTACCTAAAAATGGTTAAAATGCTGAATTTTATGTTATGTATGTTTTTTCTTACTTTTTTTTTTTGCTATTATTAATGTACAATTACATGAGCAATAGTATGGTTACTAGACTCCCCCATTATCAAATTCCCACCACATACCCCATTACAGTCACTGTCTATCAGCGTACTAAGATGCTATAGAATAACTACTTGTCTTCTCTGTGTTATACAGCCCTCCCTGTATCTGCCCCCCTCCCCGCTACATTATGTGTGCTAATCATAATACCCCCTTTTCCCCCTTATCCCTCCCTTCCCACCCACTTCCCCAGTTCCCTTCCCTTTGGTGACTATTAGTCCATTCTTGGGTTCTGTGAGTCTGCTGCTGTTTACTCCTTCAGTGCTTTCTTTGTTCTTATACTGCACTGATGAGTGAAGTCATTTGATACTTGTCTTTTTCCACCTGGCTTATTTCACTGAGAATAATACCCTCTAGCTCCATCCATGTTTTTGCAAATGGTAGGATTTGTTTTCTTCTTATGGCTGAATAATATTCCATTGTGTATATGTACCACATCATCTTTATCCATTCATCTACTGATGGACACTTAGGTTGCTTCCATTTCTTGGCTATTGTAAATAATGCTGCGATAAACATAGGGGTGCTGCTGCATTCTTAGGGTAAATTCCAAGGAGTGGAACTCCTGGGTCAAATGATATTTCTATTTTGAGTTTTTTGAGGAACCTTCATACTGCTTTCCACAATGGTTGAACTAATTTACATTTCCACCAGCAGTGTAGGAGGGTTCCCCTTTCTCCACAACCTCACCAACATTTGTTGTTGTTTGTCTTTTGGATGACGGCCATCCTAACTGGTGTGAGGTGATATCTCATTGTGATTTTAATTTACATTTCTCTGATGATTAGTGATGTGGAGCATCTTTTCATGTGCCGTCGGCCATCTGAATTTCTTCTATGTTATGTATGTTTTACCACACACACACACACACACACACGCACACACACACAAAGTGAAAAAGAAACTATTCCCTGGTGACTGTAATTTGTGGTCAGGCTAAGAACCACCTTATGCTATGTGGGGTTCCGTTTGAAGGGTGGGCCTGCCCTCTTGCTTGAGTGGGCTCCCTACTCCTCAGGAGGCTCAGCAGGGCTCCATTCCAGTTTCAATTATTGCTGCTACCAGGGGGCAAGAGCTTTCACTTTTCCTTTGAGATTTGGTCTGTCCCCTGCCCGAGGCCTGTCCTGCAGCATTTCTGTATCCAGTAGTAACATGTCTGGGTACATGGCTGAATGGCATCCTCTATCAGCAGGGGTTTTATTCTCTGGTGTCTTCTGATACCTGCAACTGGAGCCTCCTCCTTCTCTCCCCTCTCTTTTTCCAGGATTAGGCATGTTCAGTTTGACTCATGCAGGTTTAAATCACACAGGAATAACTAGTCAGTTGATGTCAACTAGGGATGACATGTGTCCATGGCAATGACGAGTTCTTTGCATCTTCTCGAATCTAGCTTGTAATTCAGGTATTAGCAAGGGCACTATATCTTTTGAAAATGTATATGAAGTTGACGGCCCTGCCCCACCCTTTGGGGGTGCAGGAGAGTCCAGTTTCCAGGGCCAGGTTTTTTGGACAGGGCTGGGGTTTCCCTCCCATCTGAGTGAATGTGCTCTAGCAGTGTTCTCACTTGCAAACATGTTCTGCAGTGGTGTGCTTTGCTCTATTTTTGCATTGAGCCAGAGGGGATACTCAGCCCCTTTTCACTGATTCCCACCTCCACTCTTTGGAAAACAAAACAAAAATACTTACAAAGGTATTTATTTGTGCAGCAGGCTTTATTACATGTGTGAGGAGGATGATCGGGGAGTATATCATCCCAAAGCAAAATTCTCAGTATTGGGTATTATATATTTTTGTTCTTAAAAGTCCTTCAGTAATATCACATAATTCTATTCAAATAAAGTCCCCAACCTGGCAAAACTAGCCTAAGATGTTAGAAGTCAGGAGGAGAGTGGTTAGCATCAGGAGGAGTGGCTGGGAGGAATTGTGAGGGGGCTCCTGGGGATTCTAGAGAAATTCTATTTCTTGATGAGATGCTGGTTACCCAAATGATTTTTGGGAAAAGCTATTGAGCTGTACACTTGTGATTTGGGTATTTTTCTGTATTTATGTTATGTTTCAATAAAAAATTCATATTAAAAAATAAAGAACAAAGAAGAGCCCGCCAGTAACATCCTGCCCAGGCATCCTGCTCTTATCTCTCTCTCTCCATCCAGACTCTTCCTGCAGATCAGCACAAGAATCCTCCCACCTACCTGGCATCTGCGCGCCAGAGGTCAGTTTTGGGTTTTGAACTAAGCATTTTCAGAAGGACCAAGAGAAAAGCAGACACAGGAGCCTGTTGTCAATGGTGAGCCTGTGCAGAGATGACCCTTCTCACACCCTTCCTCCTAAACCTCCTTGAAGCAATCACACCTGGGGTACTGGGAAGACTCATCCAGGTGCCCACTCCCCATGGGCCCATCTTATTCCCTCCACTCCTGCACATCAGCCCTTCCTCTGGAAACCCTTGTCGGTCAGAAGAGAGACTCAGTCTCTGCTGCTGACCTTACAGAGAGGTCAGCACCTCCCCACAATGAGATGTCGGAATGACACACTCTGAAGTCGTCCAGGAGCTAAACTGCCTCTGGAAAACAGGAAGATGGCTCATGCGATAGATAGGAAGTCAAACTGTGGCTCTCAAGACATGTCAGTCTGCCCACCAGCGGGCCTCCTCAAAGGACGTCCCATGCTTCCACACAATCTCAGCCCTGGGCTTCTTGAGCTCCATTGCTGGGGCCTGTTAGCATAGTGGTACTGACGCCAGGGTTCTTGTTCATGGAGCCGAAGAATGAACTTTGTAAACACTCAAGGTAGAAGAGCAAGGTAGAGGCTTTTATTTAGACATAAAATGAGAGGACAGAGCTCCTGGCTGTGATAGTACTGGCAAGAGGGGACAAGAGAGTCCAGGGTGGTGCGTTGTCTAGAGGATTTATAGTTGGTTGAGGATTTTCAGAAATGTGGGTAAAGGGCTCAGGGTGCAGACTTGTACCACCTACCCTGCCCCCAAGGTGGGCTGGGTTGTTGTCTGTTTGCTAGGGCTGTCTACAGTGAAGCCATGGGTTATGCTGAGATACCCTTCTTTATTTGCAGAAGACTCAAACATTCCAGGCCAAGTTGCTCCTGGCCTTTTGAGCTTTAACTGATCTCACTGAAGATGTCTATATTCCTAGTCTGGTATCTTTACCCTAGAGAATTAGTGTGGCTTTGCATAATGTTTAACACAGAGTTTTGACAGGGACTTCTTTGCATATTGTTACATTATTCTGACTGTAATTATCTTGCTCTGCTTTTCTCTGGAGGCCCTCACCCTACTCTGCCTAAACCCACAGTCCCTGTCTCAGTACCTGGTACTGGCCTTTCACTAGAAGGAGCAAGGTGCCAGGCTGCAGATGGTGCCAGCACATTAGCACATAATGCTGAGTGGCAGCAGAAGATGATGAGGAAGCCCAGGATCTCCAGTGGGTGGGGACACATCATCACACATGGCTGCAGTGGCCGTCCATGCCTTGAAAACCTGTATCAAAGGCCAAGTCCTTGGCTGCCCAGCTTCATGTGCTGGCATGCTAGTCACATGTGGTTCATTAGGGCCACTGCATGTTCAGCAGGAAAAGTGACAAACCCAGTGACCTGCTGCCCTGGCCTGTGGAGTAGAACCAGTTCCTCAAGCTCTTCCCTGTCCCCATCACCATCTTTTATCCTTGGAGGACAGAAAAACTTAGCAAGGGTGCTATGAAGGAGGCACCTACTTCCCCGACCTCTCCTACAGGTACCTGCTGCCTCCACCTCTGTCCTCATGCCCCCTGGTAGGACACAGCCCAGGACTCTGCACAGGGAATGCCTGCCCCTTCTATACTGCCTAACAGTGGCTGAACAGCTAGGCTTACGGTGGGCAGAAGGAGGTGCCTCAGTACTACCACGTGGCTCCCTGTGCTTTCGCTGATACCTCTGTTCTGTCCAGGAGGCAAACTAATGCACAAGAATGGCACCTGCATGACAAGTATGTTCATTATTGTGATCATAGTATCAGTACCCCAGGTTTCACTAGCCTGGGACTACAAGTCCAGTCCAATTAAGAAGAGTGCCCACATTTTAATGGCTCTTAGGCCCCATCTGACCACAGAGGGTCTTAGGATCTTGCAGCTTCCCTTCAGCTCCTGTGCTGAGGGAGCCTGGAACCTCACTGCCCTAGAGTGGGTCCTGACTCCTGCTCTGTCAGCATGCTGCTGGCCGCTGCCGACATACTGCCCACACTACCTGCTGGGCTCTGATCCCACAGCTGCTGCCCTCAGCAGCCCCCAGAGAAGTGGCAGCCTCGCCTCCCTGCCCTCTCCTGGCCCGTGGTGTTGCCAATACTGGGGGGGTCCTCTCCTGCTGCTGACTGAGCTGGATCTCTGGGGCTGGGGCTGCACAATGTCCTCAACAGCTAGGAGGGCCCTGGTCATGCTTGGTTTAAGTCTCTGCCAGTTCTCCCAGGAAACGATGCTTGTGCAAGTGAGCTGGAAATAGCTCTTTTTCCACTGGAGATGGAGGCCCACAGGAAGATTCTCTGAGCTCTGTGGGGCTCTATCCTTCTGCAAGACTACTGTCCTAGGTCTATCTTCTTGAAGCATATACCTGCAGCTGTGGTAGGCTGGGTTGGGGTCAAATTGAGGACCAGCCCCACAGTTCTTCTGAAACCACTAAGTCACTAGGACTCCCTGGGTTTGCAGCATAAGCTGCCTTCCTCCTTTGCAGCAAATATTTTTTTTTTTGAGAGGGCATCTCATATTTATTGATCAAATGGTTGTTAGCAACAATAAAATTCTGTATAGGGGAGTCAATGCTCAATGCACAATCATTAAACCATCTCAAACCTAATTCTCATCAGTCTCCAATCTTCTGAAGCATAACGAACAAGTTCTTACATGGTGAACAAATTCTTACATAGTGAATAAGTTCTTACATGGTGAACAGTACAAGGGCAGTCATCACAGAAACTTTCGGTTTTGATCATGCATTATGAACTATAAACAGCAGTTCAAATATGAATATTCATTTGATTTATATACTTGATTTATATGTGGATACCACATTTCTCTTTATTATTATTATTTTTAATAAAATGCTGAAGTGGTAGGTAGATGCAAGATAAAGGTAGAAAACATAGTTTAGTGTTGTAAGAGAGCACATGTAGATGATCAGGTGTGTGCCTGTAGACTATGTGTTAATCCAAGCTAGACAGGGGCATTAAAACATCCATGGATGCAGAAGATTTCTCTCAAAACAGGGGGGGTGAGGTTCTAAGCCTCACCACTGCTGATCCCCAATTTCTCACCTGATGGCCCCCCTGCGACTGTGCCTGTCTTAGGTTGTTCCTCCCTTGAGGAATCTTACCTGTCTCTGGCTAACCAGTCATCTTCCGGGGCCATACAGGGAGATGTAAAGTTGGTAAGTGAGAGAGAAGCCATATTGTTTGAAAAGGTTAGCTTTTTACTTCTTTGCAGGTTTATGCCCTGTGGCTTCTATGCCCAGCATTTGTCTTGAGGTATCTTTATGACGTGGAGGAATTATGATACTCGGTAAATTCGATATGAGGCACGAATTCTATTTAAAGGTTTTAATTAGGAAGGAAGAAGAAAAGCTATACAGGTAGCAGACGGAAGAAAACATGGGAGGATTGATTATTTCTTTGACATATCTTCTTGTAGAGTAACTTAAGCATGTATAGGTTTTAAAGTACTAACTAAATTGTGCACACACATTAACATAATAGGAATACAGTTACATAACCAAAGCAGATCTATAATTACCAGCCATCTCCAGTGAAGCCAAGAAAACCAGTTAGGCACCCTAGGCATTTATGAAAATTTGTCTATGATATGATGGATATTGTTCAACTGTACTTGAATAGTCTGAGAGAAATCAGACAAATTAAAACAACTCATTCCTGGGAACTGTTCACATCCCATATGTTCTTTTAACAGTAGATAGTCTGTAGTCATAAGATTTTGGAGCGCTACAACTTGCACTTCTCCTAATTCTTGGTTGAGTTCCAACAGTATAGATCCAGTCAAATTTGTTGTTTTACTGAAAGCACAGGCCAGCTTAGATATCTCCTTCTTCATTCCAATGGCAAGCCCAGGAACCGGTGGGATGGGTGCAGCTACAACTGCAGCATCACCTGGATCTTTGTTGAGGTTTTTTGATGATCATCTTCTGGTATGACTCTTCCAGAGAGTGCTGATTTTGGAAGTTCTTCATATCGTATCTTAGTTCATTATCTGGGTAGCGAAATTAGGCTTGGATCCTCTGTATAAACACAAACAGACCCTTTGCCCTCACTTTGATATGTCCTTTATACCATTGTGTAGAACTCATTGGAGGTCACCACACAGGAACTGCTTTTTTTTTTTAAGAGAAAGGAATATTATCAGAAAACAGTACCTCCATAGCCTATCATCTGATACCCTTTAAGTGATCAAAATTAAGTATATTTAAAGCATGCATTAATTGTTGATTTACAGTTAGTTTTATCCTATCAAGGAGTAATCCCCCTTTTCTTTCTTTTTTTATCTTTAATCTACACTTACATGAAGAATATTATGTTTACTAGGTTCTCCCCTATACCAGGTCCCCCCTATAAACAACTTACAGTCACTGTCCATCAGCATAGCAAAATGTTGTAGAATCACTACTTGTCCTTTCTGTGTTGTACAGCCCTCCCCTTTCTCCCTCCACCCCTACGCATGCTAATCTTAATAACCCCTTTCTTCTTCCCCCCCCTTATCCCTCCCTACACACCCATCCTCCCTAGTCCCTTTCCCTTTGGTACCTGTTAGTCCATTTTTGGGTTCTGTAATTCCGCTGCTGTTTTGTTCCTTCAGTTTTTCCTTTGTTCTTATACTCCTCAGATGAGTGAAATCATTTGGTATTTCTCTTTCTCCGCTTGGCTTATTTCACTGAGCATAATACTCTCCAGCTCCATCCATGTTGCTGCAAATGGTTGGATTTTTCCACTTCTTATGGCTGAGTAGTATTCCATTGTGTATATGTACCACATCTTCTTTATCCATTCATCTACCGATGGACATTTAGGTTGCTTCCAATTCTTGGCTATTGTAAATAGTGCTGCGATAAACATAGGAGTGCATCTGTCTTTCTCAAACTTGATTGCTGCGTTCTTAGGGTAAATTCCTAGGAGTGGAATTCCTGGGTCAAATGGTAGGTCTGTTTTGAGCATTTTGATGCACCTCCATACTGCTTTCCACAATGGTTGAACTAATTTACATTCCCACCAGCAGTGTAGGAGGGTTCCCCTTTCTCCACAGC